TTGAATAGTTTAGCAAATTTCAAACTTAACACAAAATGAGACAGAATATCAATGAACCCTGTTTGGCAAACGTTGTTTCCTTATTCTGTGACGTTGTTTCTATCACATACTCCAGGCAGCCCTTAGCCAAATTCTGGCTCTCGGCACTGATTTAGTTGTTCATGGAGGATGTTTATGTTTTCCTGTAAACTTTATTTGATTTACTGGTTTATCAGTCATCGGAAGAAAGTAATTCAGAATGTTTGCAGAGGAAGCTCTGAACAAGTGTAATTGTTTCATAATAGTTGCTATATCCATGTGTCATTGCCCTGTTAAAAGCATACACTGTTACTGAGTGAAATGTTTTAGGAAACGTGATAAAAATTCCGCCTTATCAAACGGGCTAAAACTCGTCAAACTCTTGTCATTCTCTCAATGCTAATTTAAAAACAAAGTATACGCAATAATAAAGTTGAACTGCTTAAAGTGGTTAGCCAGGAGTGATGTATGACTGATTTTTGTTAGTCCCGAAGATTTCATTACACTTCTTAATAAAATATCATGCTTAATTTTGTTTAAGGTTTTTACATTACCTTAGTTCAATATTCGAATCTTTGAAGTAACAATCTTTTAATTTTAACCTAGGGCGATTCAAAGGAGGAAATCTGGATGCCGTTTTTAATAACGCTCTACGCCCTCCCTATATGTAGCTTTTTAGATAAGACCGTAAATTTAGTCATAATTATTCTCACCTTTATCTAAAGTACAAACGGAAATAAATTATTGGCCAGGTTTCAGTTAAACCCGTATTTTTTTCTGTGAAATCAAACTGTCTTATTGAATTGAGACAGGAGAATGCAACCCAGTGATGTAACAAAGTTCGGATGCGAAATTATCTTAATTATATTTATAAGTTCCGTGACCCAGGTCGAGGAGAAGTATTTTTGTTCTTAATGACTAACTTTTCAAGAGTCTCTTGGCTGAATAGAATGGGAGGGAAAACATGTTATGGATAAATCACTTCGCAGTTTATTTCGGTATGCCTGAGGCTACAGACACACCGACTCATCCTTTTATGAGGCGGAACTGGGTTTGTAGAAAAGAGGGCCTTTTTTTAAATAGAGAAAACTCGTTAAGGTAATAATTACTCGGAAATCGGTCATTTTTCGAGCTAAACGGAGTATTCCGCGTTTGTACGAGACACTCTAGCGCCATCTCAAGGGTGGCTTTTATCTTTTGCCAATCATGGCACGTGCCAAGTGCTAGTTGAATTACCCTTATCAGAAGTGTAAGCAAAGTTCAAACGATACCGCCTCTATTGAGAATTCAACCAAGTGGGATGGCTTGGTTTTACATCATCTTTGATCTAATTTCTTTAGAGAAACTGGCATATTGCAGAGACTACTCTTTTTACTTGTGCCAATTACTACTGTTTCTTATGCCAGTCCGCTGACAGCACCTTTTTTTCCCGGCTACTAGAACTGGAAACGATACGTTGATTTTCTGTCTACAGTTTTCTCAAGCTTTTTAATGCAACCGCCTGGAGGTTGCTTATTATATGCAAAATTTAGAGCAAACGTGATGTATAGGTAGAAGAGACTTTAAACACTCCAACTTGCTGTGTTGTGATTAGGAAAAAACGAGACGGGTTTTTGTTTTAGCTTTGTCAGCTTCCATCTGCAGTCAACCAGTGAGGCTGATACAATAGGGATTATTTAAAAGCTAAACTTTTCGTTATCTCTAAGTTTTTTCGGATTGTAAATTTTGAAGTAATGTTTAATCACTGCTTTTGCCGGAGACGTTTGCTTTAACACCAACAAGACAGCTTAAAAGATTTCAAAATCACGGTGATGAAAATTAAAACTCGAACGACGGAAAATGAATAGGACAGAAAGATAACGGCTAGATTACATTTAAGAAAATTACTTAGTGCCTGGCTCGCGGGGTTTGTTTTCTTCAAAGAAATCTCTTAATTTTCCGATTACCCTTTTCGCTATTTTCATATAACTGGCTCAAGCCGTTTAGTTTAAAAAGACCTTTTAGTGTGAATATTCCGTTAATAGATTCTTCGCCCCGGGCTAACATTGAAAAAGAGTGCAATATCTTTGTCGGTTATTGGATCTTTTGGTTATTAGCCAGCCCCTTTGAGCTAACGATCCATCATGGAGAAATCAGAACCCTACGGCTGAAAATATGTTTTGTTCAACTAACTTCTTGTAACTTCGGGTTGTAACTTAACTTCATTGCCTTTTGTGACAGCGTTGATTTAGGCATATACTAAGCAAACAGAGTAAACAGAATTATTGCCACAAAAACCCGATAACGAAGGAAAGCGAAAATTGAATTTCTACCTTCACAGTTGAGACACAAACATTGTAGCTCTTGTTTACTTTGAGGTAATATCTTTTTTAGAAAAGCGGTCACCGTGGGTTGTGTATGTTTTCCTTTTTTGAGAAGACGGGAATGAGAAATTGAAGAAGTCGGCAACCTAGAGTGTTCTATTGTTTTGTCAGGATGCTTTTTACGAAATGACAATTTTCTGCGTAAGAAGAATAAATATTCAATTAGTGGGAAATATATTATAAAGAAAGGTCTTTGAATGCAAAGTTGCGCCTTTGATGAAGCCGACAGTTTTAAGACATTAGTATTGTTGAAAAGCTCTTTTCACTGACAGCTCGCTTTCTAAACTTTGTTGACAAGACCGAATAAGCCATCGAGCTGTAACCAAATTTCAAGAGAGAAAAACAAATCTGGACAGCGATTTTAACAAAGTTCGAAGCGAAAAATTGCAACAATTGTTCCCCTCTCTGACCAGACCCAAATTAGTGGTATGCGATGGGTGAAATTACTAATTGTTATCCGACAGTTTTGCAATAAAGTTTGTCGCAGCGGATATTTTTCTGTCGTCTTCTGGGCGAAATTTATAAGTTTTGCTAAGTAGCAACAATGTGAATTATAAATGGTTCCCTGCCGCTTTCGGCTCCGGCCTGTCGCCTGTTCTTCTGTAATCCTCAGGTTTATGATAAGCAATGTTGTATTACATCATTTGGTTTTGTTTTATTCCTTGTGAACCCCCGTGGCCTGTTTGAATGCAACACGCGGCTAAGCCCTGCGTTGAAGAAACTTTTTAATTTTCTTAAGCAGTGGGAGCGGAAGACTCCGGCATTTTTTACTATTGTAGCACTTTATATTTAAGCAGTGCTCACTAGAATCTCTGTCTCAGCTCTATAGTAATGTACTGTGATTGTTTCGGGGGCATCGTGTGTTGTCTTTCATTCACAGTCGAATAATGAATCGCTATTGTTCAAAAACCGTTTCCCAAGAGTCCAAGCTGATGTGTAATCTTTGTATTTGAGTATCGTATTGTCCACTGTAAAATATATTGGCTTGAGATATCTTATCGGTAAAAATCAAGGACCCCTTCAAACAAGAAGCTGAGCGAATAAGCTGGAGCTTCTCAGAGAAATCAAAGTTTCGCGTCTGGCTTGTTTACAGAAAAATACCTGATTTTCATTATTTTTTTCTTTTTTTGAGGTAAAGTGAGAAAATCGCTGAAAAGAATAAAAAGAAAATTAATTGTGGTGCAAAAGCGCGCGCTTTGTTTGACCTAAACATTGCCTTGTGTTATATTGAATGCCTGGCAAAATCTCGAGCGCGATTCTCAGGTAAAAAGAAGTTTTGCTTTTTTGCATCCCTTGTCTCAATTACAGGTTTAAAAAGCCTTAACCTGCGTAATAAAATAAACAGCAGTGAATATGCACCTGAGGCCGATAAAAAATACCTGACACCCTTCAATCACCCTAAGAGTGCGAATAACTTGTTAATTGTTAGCCGAGGAAATTGGTCGAAATTGATCCGCAAAATCAAAGAAAGCCGCCGTCTTCAAGAGCGACGAGCATCAATAATTGCCCATAAACAGTTCATGGTGCGCGGTCTGTCAATTCAAGCGCTGTGATATTGAAGTTTAATTTTAGTTGGCAGACTGAATATTTGCCAAGTCGACATGAAAAATAGCCGCTCGAGAAAAGCTAAGAATGCAAGATCAGTTGATTGGCACGAATATTGAGTGTGAACTAAAAAGGTGGACCTTGAGGCGGTCTTATTGGGCGGGTTTCTAATTAGTCTCGCAACGCACGCTCGTTAGAACACCTTGCCTCATAAAACTAACATTAAAACCGAATTTGAGCTTGCTTCAACAAAATGTTTGTACATTAGCTTTCCCTGGAAATGATGGCCGGAAAGTGCCACTGGTCAGTTTTATCTGTTTCAGAGCTTGTCACTGATTTCTCATTTTTCTCTGTCTCGATTAGTAAACAATTGGATGGATCGTGCGGCACGATGAAAGGTTAACACCTCAAGCGGTTTTTATCCCGAAAAGCCACAGTGTACCTCGTGCATTAGATGCGAATTGTTTGTTGCTTGTTACTCGGACAATAGTCTGTTTGCCTTCTTCAGAAGTGTATTACAGGAACCTTTCTTATTCAAATATAGGCGGTCTCTTTTGCGAGTGATGACAGTACTTTTAAAGGTGATGACAATAATGTGGCGCGATAACGGAAATACACAATAATATAACAAATGATTTTCTTTCAAGGGTCGACCCGCGGCTTGTTTACAAAGTAACAGCCAATCAGTGTGCTCCCATGGCGGCGGCCTCCTTTGATCATAGAAATCCAATCATAAAATGTCCCTTCTTTTGATTTTGTTCATTAGTTCGCCGCCCTCTCGCCCCTCCTCTATCATCTTTGATAATAGCACCTTATTTACGATAACAACATTGCTGTGAGAAGAGTATAAGGACTAGTCTCCGCCTCTGGTCTCCCATTGGCAGGCGGCACCGTTTGTCTAATTACATTTAGTCTGTTTTCTCCGCCACCGGCTCGCAAACCAGCTGAAGGCTTTTGTGTGTACGAGGGTTCGCAGGTTTCATTTACTCTTGGCTGTTGTACGCGAAACATCGTATTCAGAAGTGCAAAGCTCAAATCTTTCCCAAGGAAAAAAATTTCTTAATTCTCGACGAAATGGCCACTGCCGCCTTAGCGAGACCTGAATATTTTGCGTTCTCACATGTAAGTATATTTTTTTCGAGAATATGAGTTTCTACACGATTTTAAAAGTCGCCAAAAGTTGCGACTTGTGTGTATTATTTATTAAAATCGATACAGCGTTTCAGTTATCAACAGTGGATCGGTCGGTGCTCAACGTTTGCGTTTCTTGTTTCTAGGAATATCGCAAGCCGTCACCATTGGCTTTATTAGCCGCTACTTGCAGTCGAATTGGTCAACCGGGTGCGCATCGCGATTACGAATGTCACGGCAAGTTTGGTGGTGGTGTTTTTCCCGAACTAAGTCAACATGCAGTCAGTATGAGCCAAATTATGAGCTGCTCAGGAGAGCGGATGCTTCCGCTTACGCCGCCGACCGATTCACACTATTCTCCTTTTCAGGAGTTTTATCTCTCTGCGCCTCCCAAGAACCATGTCCATCAGAATTTTGCCGTCTCCCATGGGAGTGCTTCCCGCGGACCTGTCTCCCCTTGCCTGAGCCACGCGTGTCCTGCTTCAAGGAGGAATGGTCCTCTATCGCTGGGTTGTCCTGCTACATTTAAGCCTGAATGTAATGAGATTGGCGGACTTCACTGGTGGAGCGTCGAGCCAAATAAAACGATAGTTCGCAGCCCAATCTCGAACCCTGTTCCACAGAGTCTCGCCCTTAGCTCCGTGGCCGGTACAAGTCACATTTCCTCCTTGAGCTATCACGGAAACCCCAGTCCAGCATCTTACCATCTATCAAGTCCATATAGCTCGTCATTGTCTAGCCAAGTTACTAGCACAAGGAGATGCAGAAGATGTAGGTGCCCGAACTGTCAAATCGCGGCTACGACTGGCAACACAAGCAAGCGAAAGCAACACATTTGTCACATCCCCGGCTGTGGAAAAGTGTACGGTAAAACCTCTCATTTGAAAGCGCATCTCCGATGGCATACTGGCGAACGTCCGTTTGTTTGTAACTGGTTGTTTTGCGGAAAAAGTTTCACGCGATCGGACGAGCTCCAACGGCATCTTAGAACTCACACGGGAGAAAAACGCTTTCAGTGCGGCGAATGTGGAAAACGTTTCATGCGAAGCGACCACTTAAGAAAACATCAGAAAACACATCTGAACAATGTTAAGAAAAGTGCAGATAAAGCGGACGAGGGAAGCATGAAGGAAGAAGAAGAAATCAAGGACATTTCCATGGAACTCAATATTGATGTCCAAGAAGGACAGAGACTAGCTCAGATGAGCAGCGTGCTCGCACTTACTCCGAAACAGGAAGAACACGATAAGATGGAAGCTCCCAACGTTGATAAATTTATAAACGTGGAACACTAACCTTAATGACAGAAACCTTCAGGCGAGAACAAAATCTCGCATACTCAAGATACGATATTTCTCACTTAGTAATATATATGTGTGTGTATCTCTTCTATAAAAAGAACTCTTGGAGAATTCATTGAGCGAGCAAATTTAAATAAGCTAGTGTATCCAAATGGAAGAATATTTTAAGAGTTGAATATTTATAGTCGTCTGTTGACCACACGTAAAACTCTGAAAATTTAAAACTAATATCATGTGTAAAAAGATTGTACAATTTAGTGTAAATAGCACACACTGCCTCATTCGAATCTGGTATATACATAGGGACTGAGAACAGGAATAATAAACACTTTTTTATTTATCTCAACATACGCGTGTGGCCTTAGAAATTTCTTTAAGGTGCATGTTTATAGCGAGAAGAACGCGGGGTCCTTTTGAAGTCCCAGATATATAAGAAAATAGCTAGAAGCGAAAAGCCTTGCTTTTCCGGTTACTTGAGATACTGAGGTTTGATTCGCTAAGTAGCGTTGAATTCGAAGCAAAGTGCACTTTATGACGCTAACTCGCCCTGGTTTGTGCCTTCCATTGTAAAGTGGTTTTAAGCGGCTAAAGAACTTTGAAGGCGGTCTCTTTGAACAGGCCCTGTTTACAGAAATGTGGTGTTATTGGCAATTACACAAAAGCTACTAATTACCTTTGCGTCCTGTCTTGAGAAATAAATGCTAAAATTTGAAGAAATACGGCTCCAGTGATTCTTATAGTCGCGACCGCAGTTAGAGATAATTTACCTTCGCCCCGCTTACCATTTATTATCATTCATTCTACGAAGGCTCCAACAGGAGTGTGATGTTTCTGATGAATGAAGGATTTAGGCACTGAACTTCAAATCCCTCGTAATTTTAGCTATTAGTCCCTGAGACCTTCTGGCTTCATTTAGATCATTCTCGCGAAAATAGCGCAAACATATTGTAAATGCAAGCTGTGATTTACAAAAGTGGATTAAACAATGTCCGGGCAGGCAGGGTATGTAATTGGGGTGGAACTTGGCGCTACACAGGAGCCGACTTAAAAAAGGAATCTTACTCCATTATGGACCTAAAAAAGAACACAAGGCGCTCACATAAGTGGAAACAAAAAATGCAAAAATTTGCTTGCACGGATTGTGTGAGTTTGTAAAGATAGTTTGAAAGCCATAGCAAATATTTCCCTTTTTCGTTTTATAGAGGTTTGGACGTTCTTTAAGCCGTTTTAAAATGCCATGAAACCCCTTACTTGACGAAACATTTGAAAGGTTAACCTCTTTATTCTAGCTATGGCTTCTTACTATTACATATGCCAACAAGTCTTCGAATTGCTATCGATAATACCAAAGCTCTAGGAAATAGAAACTTAGAAACTTAGCTTTCCTTTTCGTTTTGCTCTTGATTGCTTTTACTATAAGTAAACAAGATAGTACTTGTAATGCAGGGCGCCAAGAATTAACAGTCCGCGTCCTTTCTGTTAAACCCAAGGCTTGAAATGATACAGAGGGCAAACCAGTGAGGCGTGGCTGAAAAAAAATAATAAAGCAGAAGAGGCAACATACGATTACCAAAAAGAGTTTTTATGTTTCTCATTGTAAAGGCTCTATGATACTTGAATCGTGCGCTCGCGAACGAAAATGCTTTGACTTCACGTTTTCTGCCGTGAAGCTCAGTACGTCTGCTCGTTCTCGGTAGAAAGGTATACTATGGAAATTTTGGACGCTATAAGTAAATAAGTATAGTTTTAAAATGTTCCTCTGTGTTTTTTATAATTGTCGTTTGAACGCGCCCAGTCGGCGGTTTTCAATGGTTAGGCTGGTGAGCGGAACATGACAATATCTATTTCCAGCGTATTATATGCGCAATTTAAAGGAAATTTTGAAAAAGTTCTTGAGCAGTTCGTTTAAACTGTTGAAATATCAAGAAGGAAATGGTGGCGTTAAGTTTGTTCGGGAGCAGCTCTGTCCAGCTGTAAAGTGGTCAGCACTTTGCTGATGTTGTTCTGGCGACAGTCTTCATTATCAGTTGCTTCTTATCCTGCTATTTTTTACGACACGATTGAAAAATTGTTAAAAGTTTTACTGCAGTGTTCATTTACAGTCTTGGTTTCGTTCAAAACCACTGCAACCAGTATTAGTGTTTATGTAAAAGGTCTTAGCAATGTATGATAAATAACTCTGTTCTGTCCTTCCGTGTGTAACTAGAAAACAGACGAACCAAATCAGTGACCCTCTTGAAACCCTTTTATTTACAAGCCAAACCTTGAATTGCATTACGCGACCCTCTATTTTTATTGAAATCCTAGGCCGTATCCATTCAATTAAGGCCGCTGCTCAGAGTGTTAAATTCTTCTGAGATGTTACTACTTTAGTTTTTATCTTGCTCCAATTTTTTCCAAGTTTCAGGATGAAGTTCTCGGGTGTGCCCACCTAAATAAAAGTTGCTTAGTAGTTCTTTCCCATGTTGTTGTTTATTGTAATGTACAAGGTGGTTTCAACTTCTAGTTGCGTGGATGAAATCGTAAAACTTTGTGATTAAAATAAAAAACTGAGCTTAGTTTAAACACCCCACTAAAATTTCGATGAGGGGAATTTAAAACAAGATCGATCTTGGAAGTAAAACAATTCTGTCCATCCGCTGTGAAAATTTTATCTTTTTGTGCCATACATTCCTAAAAGCAACTTTACCGTAAAAACACCAGGTTAGAGCCTATTTGCATCTCTTTGCATCGTATGCCGCCAAAATGATTTCCTCATAAGGCCCACGTTTCTTAGCTTGTCTGAGCCTCACAACAACGAATTAGCGTTTTGATTTGCAGTTTACTTTTTAAATTACTTCCTTTCTTGATTTGTCATTGTGTATTGCCTTTTCGCACCAGCTCTTTAATTAATGTTTGCTTTGCCTATCCGGTGTTTGTCAAATCTATGCGCATGATTTGCGCCAATCCCTCACTGATGCTGTTCCCAAACTTCAAAGCATTGAAAATTAAATCTTTGCACATCTACCGACCAGAAAGATAAGTTACAAATCCTTTCAGCCCATTTGTAATAACTTTATTTAACTCAGAGCTTTGTAAATTTATGTATTAACTTGAAACAAAACACAGAGCCAGCGGTCTGAAAGACTAGAGTTTATTGTGTTGAAATAAACATTTCGGCTGTGCCGCGCTTTTTATAAGTTCGTCATTAAAAGAATAAACTGATGAGACCACAAACGACTATCTCATTAAACGCCGAAATCATGATGAAAACCCCTACACAGGTTATTCTCTTTTGTGAAACTTTCGAACCCCTCGAGTCATGCAGTTGAGATAAATTTTTCTCCTGTCATATTTGTGAGATGATAAGTTTGATCGCTTTTGTTGATAAATCTAAAAGTGTTACCATTCTTATACCACTACATGAGAAATTTCTGCAATTTGATTGGCTTAGAGCAGTGGTATTTCAGCTTAATTTGAAATACCTACATGTGAAAATTACAAACCTTTAGCGGGTAGTAGTATAAACAAATAATAGCATGATTTGTACGTGAAATTTGGCATAAATACCACTCGTGATATTTCAAAATTGTCACAAATTTCACTCGCCTAACGGCTCGTGAAATTACCTATAACAATTTCGAAATATCACTCATGATATTTATGCCAAATATCACTACAAATCATGCTATTACCTATACAAATAAAAACATTTAAGCAGTAATTTCGTGTAGTGTTGTTTGTTTCTTGTTTGATTTTTTTTATTGTTATATCCATATATTTTCTCTGTCTCCATCTTACGGATTCTTGCGGGTAAAAATGTCTGCCCGATTAGTAGATTTTGAACGGTCTAACTTGGCAGAGAACACACGAGTTGCCTTTTCATGAACCTAAGCTTTGTTCACTTGCTAAGCAATTTTCTACCTGTTTAATTCAAATTCTTCAAATGTCATCCACTGAATAGAAGATCATGAATTAACAACGAGCCGTTTTATGGAGCACGCCGCGCTTGTTTGTCACCGCGCCATGGGGCGTCCGCTACCCCCTCAGCGTGTTCTCTGTGGGAACTCCACCTTTTCATAGCTTCAATTAGAATCTTGCCACGGTTGACAACACCGTTATCATAAATTAAACTCATTCACATTTTCTTATCCTAAACTTCAAACCGTATGAAATCAGCCGGCCAGGACGAACCTTGTATTACGATTGGAATAGACATGACGCCCCTTTCTAATACAACAAGATGGTAATTTCCTTGTTTAGCTCTCCGCTTTCTGCACGCGTTTTTACGCCATAGAGAGCTTTTAATTTTAAACAAGTTTGTCATTTGGTCGGTAGTTTAGTTTTAACATAGGATCAATATCACCAGGATTAACAGCAGGATGTGTGTACTGATATTTGTTCAGTGAAACCCTTGGTTCATTGTTGCCGGGTTGAACGTCACATTTTGAAAGCGTCCAAGTCCAAACAGTTTGTCTGCTCTGGCGCACTATAATTCTCTTCGCATTTTCTCGCAATGTGACAGCCTAAGTTATTCAAAACCTCAGTTGACGCGTCTGTTTAAAACTTGGTGAACATACCTTATTAAGGAAACAAGCTTTGTAGATTTAATTGACATTTGGTTTAATGGAAAGACTCTTTTCTTTATAGCGAAAAGGTATCTTTAATTTATCGCTTTGCTCTATTATTTGCTCTATTATATTATTTACCGCGTTAGATCGCGAGTAAACTTGAGTGCATGCTTGTTCATTTTCAACACAGGCCTTAAGCCGACAAAATGTGCTTTATGGAAATGAGTTACTGCGGTCCAACTTTACTTAACAACAAACTTCAGTTTAGGGACAGAAAAGACCAAACGGTATATCCTGAGATATCTTCTTGGTGCTTCCTATTATAAAATAGTTTCTAGCAAGATAATGTCTTGGAAAATTTAGTAATAATAGGCAATACCTTTTGAGCGCGTGTCCTTGTTGACTTTTAGCTGTGGCGATTTATCTTCTCGTCCCTTTAATTCG